CTCGCTGTCTCTCGCTTTGTTCCTTTTTATCTTCTTCTTCATTTTTCTCTTACGCGTACAATTCATGCGGGGTGGTCATTGTTGGTAGTAGTTACCAAAATTGGTTATCATCATTCCGATCGTTCGTCAGTCGCAACCGCAAACGGTCGCTTTCGATTCTTCCACCACCTCGGTCGTACCTTCCCTCCGACAACTGGCTATCCTGAATATCTCAGGACCGTTCTTTCTCTCGTTTCTTCTTCGCCAATTCCTTGTTCCCTCTTCCTCCTTCCGCTTTACTTCCCAGTCGGACTGGACTGGATTCGTCCACTCGTTCTGACGAGGAGAGTGCCGTAGCAATTCGGGAGGAAGGAAATACTACTTTCCTCTTACTCGTGGAAACTTTCTTTCCTTGTTCATCACCACTGATACACAGCCGATTACTATTTTAATTGGTAGTTACAAGATTCCTCTCATCATGCCGTTCTTTTCGCAGCTTCGTCGCCGCTCCAGACCTAGTTTTCGTGCCACCAAATCAAATGAGACGAAATCCAATGAGTCGCAATCGAACGGTGAAATGACGTCGGGGAAGTCTTCTTCCACTCTTGATACAGCCTCATACAGCTCCCTCACTCCACCCTCCTCCATTAAGCCCACCACTTCGTCACCGAATCTCCCTTCGTTGAGTGAAACCAATGGCAGTACCACTGGCAATAATTCTTCACTGTCGGTACCGCCTCAGCGACCGGCTCCTCACACATCCCCATCTCAGCGCAGTAGCATGGTTGTATGTGATCTACTCCCTTTTGTATCTTGGACTTACTGGCCGTTGGTGCGATTCCTACTGTTCCATACTGACAATTCGTTTCACAGGGTAGCATCAATGGCGGGGTTCGGACACCAGCCCCTTCGTCACCGTATGCTCCCAGAATTATTTCTATTGCAGATAACTCTTGGGTAGGTGACCCCTGTCGTTTTCAATCACATGCACTAGCACACGCCCGGGCTATTAAGAATGTCCGAACTAACGAAGCTTACCAATGATTAGGTGCATCAAAAAGTACTCCTCGTCTACGGCCAGATTGGAGACCCAAGGCAACATCCGCTGGACGGAAGCGTAACGGTCTACCATCACCAGGATGGGTTCCCCCCAGTCAGCTGGCCTGTCACGTCGTCTCATTTCAAAGTTCTAGTACACCTTACCCCAGGTCCTAATCGTCTGCGCTTCGATTTTGTTTCAACCAAGCTGTCCACAGGCAGTTCTTATGCTGCCGCGCATTCATCCTGGATTTGTATCAACTACCTTCCGCTGGTGAACGCTCCGCCTTTGCATCTGGTAGTCTTGCTAGGAAAGGACTCCGATGGAACATTTGATGCTACGCCGGCGGAAATACAGCGAGAAGGCAATGGTCTAGAAACTGCCATTCGAAAGTATCGGATGGCCGCATATTTATGGCAAGCCTTTACTGGTGAGCAAATGTTCCGGAACAATTTCGGTAGACGATGTTTCCGCTTCGAAGAAGAGTGGCAGAGTGGGACTCTGAGCCGTCGGGATACAGCCAATGGGCAGATGCGGAATGAAGCTAAAGTCCATGTCATTCGGACCGATAAAACGGTCGCTGAGCTTCGGGATCTCAATATCGCCCAACAACATGGCCCGGCTACAAAGAAGGATGAACTATTTAAAATCGCCAAGGATGCTGTGAAGAACTATCTGCATCTTCAGCCAGGCCAGAAGCAGTACGTTTCGGTCCTACTCCTGGATTCCCACTGGGACACGGGTTCCCAGACTATCACGGGTCACGCTGCCCTAGGGTCAGGCGGGGATGATGTTAAAATGGCCATATTTGGATCCCATAGCCTTCACAGCTATCCCTCCAGTCTAGAGGAAGTCGTAGATGCCTTTTCAGATTGCACCCGGACGGACACGGATTTCGTTGCCAACGACTGCAGTGAAGCTGGATCACGATGGGAGTCAGCCAATATTGGAATTGGAGCCCACCTCCATGAAGTGGGACATCTCTTTGGATGTCCGCATCAAGAATCGGGTATCATGCTCCGTGATTACGTCCGTTTTAATCGGTCATTCATGACTCGCGAGCCATTCTCGACCCGTACTAAGACTCAAGGGCTCAAGTTGTGCTTACCTCAGGATGAATGCGGCTGGCACCGACTTGATGCACTACGGTTCCGCTTCCATCCTTGCTTCCGACTTCCCGGGGACGCTCCTATGAGCTCGGACGATAGCGTGCAAGTCTGGCCTGTCGAGAATGGTAAAATCTTGATTACCGCAACGACTGGTATTGCGTTTCTGGAGCTATATGCTGAGGGTGACGATGTTTGCCATAATTTCATTGAGTATATCAACACAGAATCAAGCAGCAATGGGCTCCCGCGTCAGGTTACAGTGACGGAGAGTGAGCTTCGACAACGCGTGTTCGGCACTGATAAAGAGAAGAAAAAGAACATCAGGCTGACGGTCTTCTCCGGTGCCCTTGGCAGCCACACCGTTGATTCTATCAATGATTTCAAGTCGAAGCAATCGGTAGTAAAACTGCCGAAGGGCCATACCGGTTACAAGGGCAGTAAATTGGGATTTTCACAGATGGAAGGCAGTCAACCAGATCAACTTCTTTTAGACTGCGCCTTCGCATCAACGAAACTGTTGACCTCGATCCGGGTCTATCACGGCGCAGCAGTAGATGGGCTGGAGTTCTTTTACGAAGATGCGACTAGCCAGCTCTTTGGGAAACGAGGAGGTAAACCTGGCGGTGATGATTTCGTTCTTGGTAAGTCTCGAAATAGGAGAAAAGCCCGTTTCTGCATTCCCAGCCAGCGGGACTGACAAATTGCTAGATACACGACGAGGAGAAATTCTGCTGGGCTTTTATATCCGAGCGGGGGCTTGGATTGACGGAATAGAGATCCTTACGAGTCAAGGGAGGAAGTCTGGCGTTTTTGGCAATGCTCATGGGGGCTCCGGGTAAGCAATTCCGTGACCTAAATTTGACCCTGTAGATTTCTTTCATGCTGACAAGGTCATCTCACAGGCACACATTAATCCCACCTCTTGGTTATAAAATAGCCGGCATCTCAGGATCCTGCGGTGCCTGGGTGGACGGATTCTCATTAATTATCATGCACTAAGCTTATATCGACACTACATGCCTTCGATATCCCAACAGAAATATACGGACGAAGACCTTTCGGTCAGTTAAAGCACGGTACACGCCCGGTTTTAAGCCGACCGTCTCTTTTCGGTGCAGGAGTGTTCGAAGGAACTCAGTTCCTTCTAAGTCCCAAGAGGACAGACAGTCTCCATTAAACGCGCCCTGAGCTCTGGGTCCAAGAATCCAACGTATATCAAATCTCACCTCGAGCGACTCTCAGGATGAGTCGGAACAAGATTACTTTCTTAATTTTCTTTTCTCTAAAATCAGTTCCTTTTCGACGACATACATCGCGCGATTTCGCCTTTCTAGACAGAAGATAGTTCGGATTCCCATTGACTTTCATCAATGCAGCATTATTTTCTAGGTGCGGAAATATGAGTGACGGTGCGCAGGAGTTGTGGCGTCAGTCGTTTTTCTTTTCCCTCTTCTTTTCTTCTGTTTGTCTTTTTCTGCGATTCACTCTGAAGAGGTTCACCGAAGGCGTGTCGTTGATGTTATGTATGCCATGAGATAAGCGGGACTTAGCATCACTGGCGGTTCATACTGGGTTAGTTCCATGGAACATAATTGATAGTTGGCCAGACAGCTGGTCCATAAGTGCCTACAAATAATACCACATGGGCTCTACGTCTGCTATTGACGCATATTGGGACCAATTGTTCTGACTGTAGGATTTGAGCGGACTTCTATAGACACTGATGCCCTCAACGTCACACCAATCGAAGCTCTCAGCCTGGGCTATAAGGTGAGAGGAGGAGTATTATGTTGTATACGTTTTGGAAGAGTTATATGGCATCAGGACAGTTGAATGTCTGTTTCAACTATCTCCAAACTTCAGCGACCAGTGTAGGCCCAGCCTCTCAGACGTCTCGGACTTTTGTTCCAGATACGGAACACAACATACGATGCAGTGGGTTAGTTAAGCTTAACTGTGCTAGTCCATATCCAATACGGAGTGGACTAGTAGGTACTAACACTAGCAGTTACTAAGTACCTGTGGACGTAGTGCTTCATCATCAAAAAGTCTGCAGGGAACACAGCACAGTATTATGACATCATAGGTACTACCCACACGGGAATCCACATCATTAGGTGCGTTTAAAAGAAACGCTAATGATTCAGAAGAAAAAGAAAAAAGAAAAAAGAAAAAAAAGGGAAAAAAAGAACAAAAGAACAATAAGACACTAAACCGGGGGGGGAGTGCGTCAACAGAACGAGTGGGTCCATTGATTGATTGCTTTCCCCAACAGCAGCCTTGCAGTCATATTTCGCCATTCTCCGATATGAGGCCATGATTTGTCGGGAAAATACAGCTCAACGATCAGATGGCTCAAGAGCCAAGTGGGGTTTGACGTCGCTGTGGCACCTATCACGGCGTGGTACCTGTTGTGGCGACAAGATTCAGATCCCGAGGACATGGGTCAAACTCACTATTCAGTCGTACCTATGTTTTACTTACGGTTGTGAGCTGCAAAAGTACCTCAATATGTCCTCTTAGGGCTTAGAGAGCCACGGTTGATGCCGTATTTTTAAGTTTCTAGGGTAATTGGCTAGTTCTGGAGCGGATGTATCTTCCGTTGGAGGCATGGCTTTCTTACTGGTACGCTACCGGCATTGATTACGATAGATACGAAGAAAACCTATGTATGTATGTATGTATGTATGTATCATTGAGTCTAGCTATCGGGGAGTTAGGATAGACAGATAAGTATAAATGTCATGTCAGCGAAAGTTGGTGTTCCTCACACTTACTATAAGTAGTATGTAGCATGTAAGCGACATCTATACGCCAGTGAGTATTTGTGGGCCTTTAGTCATTTGACATCGACCCCGTTCTTAGATATATATGTACAGTGCTACCGCAAACGGGCCCTAACCCTCCCACCAAAGAGACAGGTGCATGCCAGCAAATACAACACCGTCTCGTCGGTATTTGCGTTCGGTAGCTCGAAGATCCCGCAGTATAATTTACACACCGATTCTGCAAGAATATGCATGGAAAACTGGATCGCGACACACCTTAATCTAATAGTACAGCAAGTCCCCCGACTCGGGGATCAAAATCTTCTGCCTAAACAGGCGTGAATGTTTTGACCCTGCCTCACCATCGAATAATATCTCATTCTTCAGCAACGCAGGTAGGAAGGAGGGGCAGACAGCAAAATGATGGCGTGGCAAAATGTCAGATGCGAGCTGTTTTGATGCATGCCGAACGATATACATATGATGTGAAGTCTTGGCTGTGCCCTGCGGGGGAGCAACTAAATTAACTGGCAATCCGCCAGTAAAAGAGGCGAGATCAGGTATTTCCTAATCGGTGTCCTCCATAAAGGGGATATCGCCCCCCTCTTTCGCCTCTGTTCTCTTCGTGCTGACTTGCCAGTGCGATTCCTTCATGTACCACGGTAAGCAAATATACCCACTCTTCCTTCGGGATGCTCTAAGCGTCTATTCGTTTGGCAGGCCCGCGAGACTTTTCTTTTTTTTTTCTTTTTATTTATTTATCTATTTATTTATTTTTTGCTGACCGGAAGTTACAAATAGAAAGATAATTATGGCAATAGTGAAAAAGAATGTGGAAGATAGAGCGGAATATCCGCCGATCATCAGACTATGGTTAAAAGTGTGTTTTGCTGTGCAGACAGGGTTGTCGTTCGTCCTATTTATTCGCGCAGGTGCCCATCCATGGCCTTGGACCCGGTACCGTGACCGGAAGGAGAAATCTGTAGCATGAATCGCAGCTTTCGAACTTGATGTGGTCATGGTGTAGGAAAACCTTCGAACGACAATTCTACGTAGCTTCTTTTCTTCTTTTCTTCTATTTTCTTTTTTTTTTTTTTTTTT